AAATTAACTTATAAATAAACTGAAACTCAACTCAGCACCGAGAGAGAGAGAGTAAAGTAAAGGTTGTGGACCGACTATCCCTAATCCTTTTGCGTTACTTTGACAGACTGAGAACCCACCACAAATCATTCCCTGGAGCTGACCTCCCATACGGCCCCCAGAGAGCCTGCAAATTAATGTTAATTAAGAGCTGGAGTCGAGGCTATGCTGCTCCTTCCTGCCACCGAACCTTTTGTGCATTTGAGAGAAAAAGAAAGCTGCCTCAATCTCGATGGCCATCCCCCAAGCAGTGCTGGTTCCAACCCACCTAACCAGTGTCCTTCAACCACAAGCCAAAGGAGTGTACGAGAAAAAAGGTTGTTCCTCTGCCTGTGCCGGACACCCAACGTCTTGGGCCAGCTAAGGAAATGTTTCATTAGAGCCATGTTGGCCGCAAATGGAAGGGACATCACCCAGCAGCAGAAGCAGACCCTTGCCGGACCTTGTCCCACCCACTCGAATAATTTCCAGTGCACAAAAGGCAGGCAGTGAAAAAAGGCAACCCCAAGATTGAACAGAATAGGAAAAAAGAAGGGAGAAAGAGAACAACTGACCCTCCCTCTCTGAAGATGAAAGTCGAGAAAACTTTCCCTCAAATACTGAGTTGCGTCTCGGTCTGGGTTTGGGTTCTTATTCGGGGTCTGGGAATGGATTTTGGTTGGGTTGTCCGACCCCGAAAGCTTTCTTTGACGCTACTTCTTTTTCCGCATTCTTTTGAATGGTCTAACGAACTTCCAGCCGGCTCTTCTTCTAATCATTGGGATTTGGCATATCGAACGGAGTCCCAAAACTTTGTGCGGTCACTCGAAAGTTGCCCAAAAAACGAACTTCCACTCATCTTTGTCTTCTCTCTCTCTATCAGGAAACCATACCAGCAACACCGGCCACGAACACCGACACAACCAGCACGGTGGTCGGTGTGGGCGGCGGCGGCGGCGGCGCAGGACTCGGTGGAGGAGGAGCAGGTGGCGGTGGCGGCCTCCTGGGCACCGGCGGCATCCTGGGCGAAGTCGTCAGCGGCCTGGGCGGAGGAGGCGGCAGCGAGTCGGAGGCCTATGCGGGTCTGATGAAGGACGCAGACAAGCTGAAGCTGATGCTCCTCGCCTGGAACTATCAGAACTCAACGGCGGTGCGCAACGGGACCGAAGGGCCAGACCTCAGTGTTGTGGGTGGGCTGTGGGCCCAGTACCAGAACGCGCTCGCCCAGAATGCGGCGGCGGCTGCGGCGGCCAGTGCTAAGATGGACAGCTCGCTGTCCCCGGTGCCGCGGCAGGACACCCACTCGCCCATGGAGACGCAGGACGAGACAAACTCCTCCGGACAAAAGGAGGAGGACGAGGTTTCCGAGGACGACTCTGATGACAAGATGGACGAGAAGCTGGCCACGCCCCACGATCCCGAGCGCCTCAAGGCCTTCAATGTGAGTAAAGCGAGAGCGATAGAGAGACTTTTCTCTTTCCCTCCCCGTGAGCAGCGAATGTAAAGCAAAGCGTTGCCAAGAAGTCGCCAGAGAACTGGTTACCGTACAACGATTTCGATTTTCTAGAACGTTTCTTTCTTGCTTGCAGATGTTTGTGCGGCTCTTTGTGGATGAGAATCTGGACCGCATTATACCCATCTCGAAGCAGCCAAAGGAGAAGATCCAGGCCATCATCGACTCGTGTGCTCGCCAGTTCCCCGAGTTCAGTGACCGCTCCCGCAAACGCATTCGCACCTATCTCAAGTCGTGCAGACGCAACAAGAAGACCCGCGACGGATGGGAGAATACGGTAAGCTTAATCGAAGTAAGTTTATACCCGGAAATCGCAGGGTATTAGATTTTCATCTATATTTATAAGCAACTGTCCAAGTCTTTCTGCTGGTCACCCGTCCGTCCGTCCGCTTGCTCTTGGAGCGGATCCCAGAGTCCAGTCTTCATGGAATTCTTGCAAGATTTGAGATGAGTCAGAGCACTGCTTCTGATAGATATTGATAGCTACTCAAAAACTGAACAAAAGCTAACCATTCTTTCACTGTTTTTGTTACAGACCAGACCAACCCCTGCACATCTCACCTCAGTGCAGGCGGAACAAATCCTGGCCATTGCCTGCGAGAACGAATCGATGAATGCCAAGAGGATGCGCATTGGCCTGGAGCCCATTACCCACGCGGTGCCGGCTCCTGGCAGTGCTGTTGCCGCAGCGGCTGCGGCAGCTGCGGCTGCTGCTGTTGTGGCTGCCACCAGCTCCGGTGCCGGTGGAACCAGCACCACGTCCGCGGGCAATGCCACGGTCACCTGCGGAGGAGCTGGTGTCGCGGATGCGTCGGGCCTCACAAATGTGGCGGCCGCTGCTCTGCCCTTTGTCAGCGCCGTGGGCTTCGCTCGTTCCACACCGAACTCGGAGCATGCGGAGGCGCTGCCTTTCGGCGGGGCCAGCAACGTGGGCGGAAGTGCGGGCGGCGGCAGTACCAGTGGAACGGAGGTAAGTTCAACTTATTTGCCCAGCTAGTTACAGAGTCGTAAACTATTGTTTCTGCGTGAAAAAGAAAGCAAAGATCCTGGAGTGTGACTCGCATCTTTTCTATTTTAATCGTTAACATTGCTTGAGTTTAAATCTAAATAAATCCTTTCAGAGCCAACATCTTCTCCACCATGGTCAGCCGCTGATGCAGAGCAACTGTTCGGCGCGCAGCTCTCCACTGGCCCTCAGCTCGAATGCCAGCGTGAGCGGTGGGGCAAGCGTGACCGGGCTGACACTGGCCAACGGGGCTGTGGCCTCGAATGGGGCTGGCCTCCCGCCCACCAGCTACCCCGGCTACTTTCCCGGGGTGGCTGCCCTGGGTAATGGTGAGTAACACATTGAGTTCTCGGCCGGAGTTGAACCTGACTCTAATTTTGTCCGTTCCTTTTTAGTGACGCCCACCGATCTCTCGATGAAACCGACCTCGCTGGGCTCCGGCGTCAGCGGCAACCTGCTCGGCAGCAACAACGGCAATCTGTCCGTGGCAGGAGCCATCAACTCCCAGCTCAGTGCCGCCAACCTGGCCACCCTGAGCAATGCCAACACCAACAGCGCTCTGGTGACCGCAACCCAGCAGCTACAGCAGCTCCAACAGCAGCAACAACAGCAGCAGCAACAGCAGCAGCAACAACAACAGCAGCAACAACAGCAACAACAGCAGCAGCAGCAACAGCAACAGCAGCTCCTGGCGAGCTCTGGCGGCGGTCTCGACGGGCAATCCGCCCGAGTACCGCCTATCCTTCCGCACAAACTGAGTCCCAACGAGGTTTCCGCGGCCCGCCAGGTGATATCCGCTTACCGTGAGAGCGCAGCCTTCCTACTGCGCACCGCCGACCAGGTGGAGCAGCTGCTAGTCCAGCAGCAGTAGGCGTGGCCGGGGGCGCACTCAAGTTTCCAGGACCCAAGCGATGCCAGGCGCGCGCGGGTTGTTCCTATTTAAAGTTAAATATAAATTCAATTACACACAAAAACTGATCCACTCACCCCACACACTGTCGCGCCAAACTAAGCGAAATAGTCAAAGCATAGAGCAAAACGAAGGAGCAACACAGGAGTAGAAGGCAGAAGAGGAGGAGAGAGCAGGAGAGCAGGAAATAGCCAAAAGGAAGTTCGTTTAAACAAAACATTTTAAGTGTTTATTCCTCCAACTACGTACAGAATATTAAAATAGAATTAAACAATAAACAAAAACCAAAACAAATATTGAAAATATCACAACATTAAAAATAGCAGAGCTGCTCCAGCCATCTGAATGTGTCTCAAATGAAGCCTCCACCCTGGATTATTTAATTCAAAACTGTTCAAGAACTAGCGATATCCCCCATACAACAAACAAAATATATTTTTTTTTATTTAATTTGTTTGGATGCTGAAATATTATTTACAATATTAATTAAAATCACTTCCATGAGAATTTGTTATGACTATTTTCGAAATTCCTTCCTACAAGACAAATATTTTGACAACCATAAAATCATAAATACAGTTCTAGATCCAATGTTGGATTGCTTTATATCCCAATATCGACCATAAAATGTTCCCCTTCAAATCATCTATCCACTAATATCGAAAAATACATATAAGAGACATATCAGATAGCTGGAAAACTCTAATAAAAATAAATCCAAGCAACAGTTCAACGTACTACAGTGTCTACTAAAAGTAAAACTACAATAGCCACACACAAACACTCGCATTGATTTTGTTTAAACTTTTGATTATTGCATATTTTTGGACTCGCCCCGGTGGGGGAAGGAGCAACGATTTCATGGCCCGTTTTCAATGAGCGCGATTTGTTAAAAATGAAAAATAATAATTAATAAGTTGAAGTATTGTTGTACATTTTAAGGAAACGATACAAAAAAAAAAACATTTTAAGGAAAACAAAACAAAAAAAAATATGAAAAACTATGAGAAAACACAGGGTGATACTTTGAAAAATTATTACAATGCATAAGCTAAAAATTAAAGAAACGACAGAAAGGAAAAGAGAAATGTAAAAAAAATGAATTTGAAAAACGGAATAGAAGTTGGTAAATGTGTATTTAAAGTTTAGAAACAACTACGTTTTGTACACTGTTTCCAGTTTCTTGTTTAATGTCCTTCAGTTCGACTGGTTTACCTGCCATTAGGTGTATATATTTTAAAATTTTACATTTTTGTTTTGCTGTTGCTTTTTACTCACATTCGATTATGGAAGTATATATACCAAATAAAGTAATTAAATACAAAATAGCCATTAATGTTTTTGCAACTATAAATGTGCATGTAAAAAAACCACACACCACACACAAACACTGGAAAACACAGAGGAACATCGGTTAAATAGGGATGTGAGAAAGCGAAAACTCTAAATGGGAGTTCGCTATGAAAGGCAGATTATAGAATTTAATAATATAAATAAATTGCTACAATTATTTAACCAACAGATAATTATTGACTAAAACAAACTAAATAAATATCCAAAAGAATTCGATCAAGGCGCGGGATATTTATGAAGAGTACTTAAACGTACCACAATGAGCGGCATTCGCTGAGAAGAGTAAACTAATTAAACCAGCCCGAACAGAGGAATCACGAGTGGAAACAAGACAACATTTTAAAAATCGATTTAATAAAGAATTTATGAGAATTATATGTACATTAAAAACCTATCTATCTATTAATTACTAAGAGATTTCTACGTGGATGTGGAAAGATACATTTTTGTCTTTTCAAAGACATTGGAAAGGACGTTGGTTTATAATTCGTAACTTACAACAGGCTTATACGGTGTTCAGCAGACACAGCTTGTTGGTTAATTTCTTCCATCCATTGAGACTTGTTAATATTTTATTATTTGTTCTTATAAGAAAACTAACCACCAAACAAAGAGCCACAACCACAATGAGAGATGATCGCTTCTTAGCCAATAGTTTTTTTTTTTTGATTCGATTGCAGAACTTTGAACCTGCTCATCGATTTTTAAGGGCTTGGTTTTATCTCCAACATGTCTAGGCGGAATCTGTCATTTGAACTCTTAAATTTTAAATAATTTATGTGGAGACATCAACAACAGAGCATGTGCCATTAGGCCCTAACAGAGCGTGGGGTGGCAGTGGTAGATGCCCATCAAGGGGTTCATTTACCGTATCTCTTTTGAAATTTTGTATACTCCTATTCCCAACTAGTTTTCATTCAATGTTGTCTAAATGTGGTTGTGTCACAGTGCCAGCTTGATGTTAAATAACAAAAGTTAAGCGCTTTACAGCACCATAGTTTCGATGCCCCCACATACAGATGGCGCTATAGGCAACTCAAATCATACAGTGGCACTTCCAACCTTTATCTACGTATTTTACATGGCAGCTACATGTTGCCATTTCGGTGTAGTAGTCGTGTATGCACTTAAAGAGGTAATAACATAGTTCGGTTAGAGAGCACATCCTGAAACAGGTATCTTTTTACAGTTCAAATATTCATTTGTATATTCTGGCTGGCAAGTGGTGGCGATGCTTAAGCAACGTCTCAGAACGTTCTTCTTCGTTCCTTTAAGATTCAATCTTCCATCCGCAACGAAAAATGGTTGTCATTATGTAAATCAAAATGATAAATAAAAGACATAGTTCAATTATTCGAATCTTCCATACTGAAGCCTGTTTGGACCTACGCTATACAGCTTTGGGGAACTGCTAGCAACTCAAATATTGAAATACTTCAGCGTTACCAATCAAAAACTTTGCGACAAATTGTCAATGCTCCGTTTTACGTATCTAATGCAAACATCCACAAAGATCTGAATATTCCAACCATTAAAGAAGAAATAAAGAAAACTAGTAAGAAATACATCGACAGACTCCACAACCACGAAAATAATTTAGCCTTAAGTCTATTAGACAATAGCCTAACAGTAAGAAGACTGAAAAGATACCACATTCTCGATATCCCTGATAGATAAATTTAACAAACTAAAAAGATGTTATATATAATAGCAGGGCTCATTGGAAAACTGCTATTTCTGTTAATTGAATATTAATTATACAATTTACTTATTGTTTAAAAACAGATTGTAAATATAAAGAGAGAGAAAAAAAAAAAAAATTATTCGAATCTGAATAGAACTATTTAAAATTTGCTGATTTTTTAAGATTTTTCAAAACCAAGCACCCGGAATGGAACTGCAGGAAAACTAACATATTTTTAGTTGCGCAGAATATGGTACTCTTAATTTAAAATAATACATTTTTTTCAAGATGTGAACTGTATCCTATTTTCCGAATATGTTGTTAAAGGGAAACAGTGCTGGTGGTCTTGGCAAAAATGGTGGTGGAGGTGGTGGAGGCAGTGGTGGTAGTCTAGGTAGTGGAGGAGGTACGGGAATAATGCCAAGTATGGAAGCATCAGCTGGTGTTAATGAGTTAATTCCTGGAAACAGCAATGGTGGAAGTGGAAGTCCTGGCAAAGGATGCACAAATCCTGGCGCTCCAAATATCTCGTGATAATGTATGTGGTGCTCTATACTTGGCTGCGATTCGGTTGAAGGAGTGGTCAACTCCGTTGTTACCTTTTCGGTAGTTGTAGGGGCTTCAGTAGTTGTAGAAGGTTCACAGGTTGTTGTTTCCTCGGTAGTTGTAGGGGCTTCAGTGGTTGTTGTTACTTCGGTAGTCGTAGGAGCTTCAGTGGTTGTTGTTTCCTCGGTAGTTGTAGAGGCTTCAGTGGTTGTTGTTTCCTCGGTAGTTGTAGGAGCTTCAGTGGTGGTTGTTTCCTCGGTAGTTGTAGGGGCTTCAGTGGTTGTTGTTTCCTCTGTAGTTGTAGGGGCTTCAGTGGTAGTTGTTTCCTCGGTAGTTGTAGGAGCTTCAGTGGTTGTTGTTTCCTCGGTAGTTGTAGAAGCTTCAGTGGTTGTTGTTTCCACGGTAGTTGTAGGGGCTTCAGTGGTAGTTGTTTCCTCAGTAGTTGTAGGGGCTTCAGTGGTTGTTGTTGTCTCGGTAGTTGTAGGGGCTTCAGTAGTTGTAGAAGGTTCACTGGTTGTTGTTTCCTCTGTAGTTGTAGGGGCTTCCGTGGTTGTTGTTTCCTCGGTAGTTGTAGGGGCTTCAGTGGTTGTTGTTTCCTCGATAGTTGTAGGGGCTTCCGTGGTTGTTGTTTCCTCGGTAGTTGTAGGGGCTTCAGTGGTTGTTGTTTCTTCGGCAGTCGTAGGAGCTTCAGTGGTTGTTGTTTCTTCGGCAGTCGTAGGGGCTTCAGTGCTGGTTGTTTCCTCGGTAGTTGTAGGACCTTCAGTAGTTGTAGGGGCTTCAGTGGTTGTTGTTTCCTCGGTAGTTGTGGTTATTTCAGGAGGTACAGTAGTTCTGCATATTTGTAATTGTGGAAATATAGTGCATAAGATTGATGCTCGTTCAGTTTGTAAATCTATTGTTTCCTCTGCTATTGCTTCATCGGTTGATTGGGCTCTAAGGGTGGTTGTTAGAAGTGCAGTCCACAGCACAACAACAACAAAACCACTCCGGATCTGAAAGGAAAAATTCGTTTTTTATTTAAAAGAACTTCCCGACCATTCAGTTCTTACCATCTTGGCCTCCCAGAATTCACTGATGCAACATAGCTTTGTACACCATTTATGTACTTTCTTCCTCGATAGCTATTTTGGTTTAAGTTGGAGTTAATGAACGACAAAGCACCAGGCAAGGTAGTCGAGATAAGCGCCTGACAGCTCCTGAATTTACGTCATGCACTTAGCTTTATGCGTCGGAAATTGTTTTTCAAAATAACTCACGAAAGGTTGAACTTGGTTTTATCTACGGTTGTGTTAAGAATGTGGGAAGAACACACATTAATGGGGAATCTTGTAAATCTGCAGATGTTTCGGGGTTGACCAAAATAGACCGATGTGAAACAAAGTGCTATCAGATGAACAATCTTTTCTGATAGTTAAGAAGCTTGGAATTGACAACGACTACGATTTCGAGAACAAGCTATTATCATAATCTAGGGGAACAGACTCATTTCAAATTTCAAATTTCAAATTCAAATTTATATGACTATCGGCTCTATTAATCCGAATATTTAGAGCATTGAAGTTTTAAGATACATTGATTGACTCTGTTTAAAATTTTATAACTAGGCAATCTATGAAAATTTTAATTAAATTTGAAAATGAGAGTTTGTTCGCACAATTTGCATAAAATTGTTACTATAAACTATAAACAGTAATGTACCATTACAAAAAACTACATAAGGAGGCGTTTCTAATACGTTTCGTAATACGTAATACGTAATACGTTTCTATACCCAATCAAGAATCACTTTTGTAACAAAATCTTGTACCTCAATTTAAGCCCAAAAGCACATAAAATATAAAATTTACGACTGTAACTATTTTTAAACTTATGAACAAGTCGTCAGTAAAACGGAAATGAATCAACCACTTATCTAATGCAGACATACAATGTACTTACTCAATATTTCACTCAAGTAGGAATGTATCCAAATAGATACAAGACATTGAAATGTAATGGAATGCAATGGTTTTGGACGTTACTTACTTTCCCATTTTAAAAATACTTGTTTAAACGAAAAGAGTTTGTATTTTTGTACTTAACTATTTATTGTTTATTTTACAGAATTTAGTAAATTAAATTGCATTTAAAGTAATGCCAAAATAATAAATTAGATATGAACTTAGATTAGATCCCATTCTGTTTCCATACTCTTGGATTTTTACACATGTTTTCTCTTCTCTTAAATTGAACTATTTGTAATGACTGTTTTATGTAGGCGAAAAAGAAAAATACAGGACAGTTCATGGAAGCACCAAATCTTTGTGTACATCTGCTCATGTCTCATTGCGGGTTTGCACCATTTGTCCAAAGACGGCAATTTGTTTGGCCCTCCCAAGGCGTTGGCAAGATTTCACTAATAATTTTGGATGTGGTTGATGAAGGCTCCTTCTCCTCCTCGCTTAATCTAAGTCTTAAGGCTAAACGAAAAACCGCGATAACAAGGCCGATATAATCTCCTTGGCCAGTTCTTAATCTCTTCACGCAAGAACGCCGTCCAAGGCGTGAATAACTCCATTGGTGGCGGGGATGTTGGACGTCACCATCTGGGCATCGTTCACCTTGATCTTCCCAGCAGACGTCTTCTGTAGAATCACGGTCTTGCCCGTGTATAGCGAGTCCTTAACCTGGTAGAAACGCATACCGGCGGAGAAGAGAGCTCCAGGTACTATGTGCTTCATGGCAAACTGCTCGGCGGCTTCCTTATCGTTGTAGAGCTTCTCCAGCGTGTCCGAATCCAATTCACTGAAGCTCTTGTCCACAGGAGCGAAAACAGTGTACGTTTTTACACCTTGAATAAAAGATGATATTCAATGCAAATTATGGATTAAATTTACTATTATTTACCCTTGCTCTGCAGCTTCTCGGACAGTCCTGAGGTGTAAAGGATCTTGAGGAAGTTGCTAAAGCGACCCTCGCGATCAGATTGCAGAGTCTGCAGAAGATCCCCTACAGGCAGTGGGAACATGACACGATCCACGGCATGAGCCACTCCCTGCGGGATCTTAATATCCTTCTTATTCAGCACAACCATGGCTCCATTGATAGTGGTGAGCTGCATTGAGAGATTAGATCGTTAAGCAGCATAGGGAAATGCTTTTAGGGTTTACTAACAGTGACATCATTCCACTCCTGGTCGTGCATATTGTACTGATTGACGCGGAGTTGGGTTCCAGCCAGGGACACGCCCGTCATCTCGTCCTGCAGCGTTGCAATTTCAAAGGCTCCGGGGATCACATGGTGGAGCAATAGCTACAAAAAAGCAATTGAGTAACTTTTCTCGGCATGAAAATTATACACTTACCCCACTCAGTAGCCTTGGATTGGATTGGAATTTCTCCTCGGCGCGCTCGGGTCCACCCAACTGTACCAGGAGATTTTTGAAGGCCTTGTCAGTGGGCACAAAGATGGTGTAGGGTCCTGTCTCGTTCAAAATGCTATCCAAGCCCGACTGGCGGAGGTACTTGGCCATCGCGAACAGTCCGTTCGACTTCAATATCTGCAGCAGATCCTCGCTTGGATTGGAGAGGACGGAGCTTGCACCCGGACCAGCCTGGGCCGCCTTCTCTGTATTCTCGGTCTCCTGGACAAGGGCGTCAGCATACTGAGGCGCAGGTGGCAACAGCTCCTGTGTGTGGGCTAGATCCGAGAGACGTTCGGTAACCACCGGAAGGTGAGTAGAGACGGAGCCTCCTCCCAGATACGAAGAAGCGGTAACCGGCGAAGAGCTGTACACTGGAGCGGGTGTGGTGCGGATTAGACTCGCAGCTGCCGCATTGGTGGTGCTGCTCTCGTAGATGGGGCTGTAGCGGGGTGTGTAGGGTGCACTGGTGGTTGTGCTGGTGGTCGAAGTCCTAGAGGGATGATACTGGCGATGATTGGTCGGCGTGCCGCTGGAAACGAATGGAGCCGGAGTGGTGGTTGTGGTGGTTGTTGTGGTGGTGGTCGTTGTAAGTGGTGCACGGGTGGTCTGGATGATCTTTCCGCTCTTGATCTCCACCAGCTCATCGTTGGGCAGGGTTAGTCGAGAGACAGAAGGCGGCAGCTTGATCTCACCGCTCCTGATACGCTCCAGAATGCTCTCGACTTCGGCGCCAGTCTGCTTGGTCTCCTTCTCACCATTGGCCTTGACTCCTTGGATCTTAAAGCTGCCATCGGCCTGCTCCTCGAGGTACACGTAGGTGGCCTTCTTCTTGGCCGGCAATGGCACCGGAGCAGGCGCAGGCGTTGCCTTTGGGGTCAGACCCTCGATCTCATAGCCATCGGGAATGAGTCCGCGCTTGGCCAGCTCCTCCAGGGAGGGTGGCTCATCGGAATCTGAAGTGATAACTGCAGAGCTGGCAATGCTGTTAGCTCCACTGCTAATTCCCTGTATGTCCCCTGCTCCACCGCCATAGAGAGCTGAAAGACTGGACAGATCTACACCGCCGGGCAGCGATCCTGTTGGGAGGGTATCGGACTCCTGTGGATCTGGGGAGCGCAGAATTTGCACCTTACCACCACCGGGCAGCTCGAGGTCCTTACTCTTGCTGGGAGCCACATCGCTTAGGCTCAACTTGGCCTCTGATCCGAGCCCCTGTTGGGCTAGCAGGTTCTGCAGCTGCTCCTGCGAATACGCTTTCTGTCCCTGCACGAGGTTGGGGTCCGTGGTGCGGATGACCTGTACTCTCTGGCCATTTGGCAGCAGAAGATCCATTTCGTCGTAGGTCTTGTTGCCGGTCAGCGGTTCCTGCGGTGCCTCTGAAAGGGCTGCCTTCAGCTGCTTCAACAGATCATCGCGGGCAAAGGTCTTGACAGGCTTCTTGCCGGTTCCCTTCTGGATGGGAAACTTTCCGAGCTCCGACTTGACCTGGGCATAGATGTTCTTCTTGGGCGTTGTGGTGGCCTCAGTGGTTGTTGTCGTCGTCGTCGTGGTCGTTGTCGTGGTTGGATGCTCTTTGTAATACTGCTGGAGGGCGCTGCTGAACTGGTTGTAGTCTGTGGGATGTGCCACCGGGCGGCCACGTTGCGGACCGCCAACGTAGGGGGAGTGTTGGTAGTTGCCATTATGCTGGGTGATGATCGTCGGCAAGATGTGCTGCTTGATCTGGTGCTGCTTGACCAGGAACTCCTCATGCTGCTGGCGCACCTTGTGCTGCGATTTCTCGTACTGCTTGGCCACAAACTGCTCGTGCTTCTGGATGAGCTTCTGCTTGTACTCCTGATCTGCTGGCTGGTGCTGAGCGGGAGCATTTACAAATTGATGCTGGAATTGCTGACCTTGGGGTGGCTGCTGCTGCTGCTGCTGCTGCTGCTGCGGCTGCTGTTGGAAGGCTTCTCTCGTGGGCTGCGCTGGGAAGGGTGTGGATTGCAAGGTGCTGAAGAGAGGTACAGGCAGACCCAGTTGGGGTGTCAACTGGTACTGCGGAGGGGCTGGCTGTTGTTGATAGTTGAACTGGCCATGCTGCTGCTGTTGCTGTTGCTGTTGCTGCTGTTGCTGAATTGGATGCGGTGTCTGTTGTGGAATTGTCTGGAAGGTGGGCACGGGCGCCTGGCTGGGCAACTTCTGTGTGGTCTGAGGCAGAACTTGGGGTACGAATTGCTGGGATCCGGGCTGCTGGTAGGCAAACTGCTGTTGGGTTTGCTGTTGCTGGTAGGTTTCCCTCGAGGGCTGTGGCGGAAAGGCTGTGGACTGCAAGCGGGAATCTAAGAGATGAAACATAACATTCGCCAAAGGATTGTTAGCAGATTATTACGACAATAGATAGGAGGATTCTTTACGGTGGAGTCCAGATCTTACCAAATTGTTTGTGGCGTTGTGGCAACTGTTGTTGTTGCTGCTGGGGGTGCTGCAGCTGTGGTTGCTGCTGGGAACCCGCGTAGTTTCTCAAGTCCAAGAAGTTCTGATGATGCAGATCCAGATTGCTGGAAGTCGAGGGCAGTTGCTGCTGCGTCTGCTGCTGCTGAGGGAATTGAGGAGCCGTTTGCAGCTGACTCTGGGTGGATCGTTGGAACTGCTGATTTCCATGGGGCTGCTGCTGGGTGGGAGATGGCTGCTGTTGCTGTGCGAACTGCCCGAATCGATGCTGCTGCGGTGCCTGGTGATGCAGATGTGTGTGCTGCTGCTGCTGGTTCTGGCGGTGAGGAATGGGCAACTCGACGCCAGCCTGGACAAAGTTTTGATGATTGTACTGCTGCAGATTCAGCTGGCGGCGATGCGCGTTGTGAAAGGGCGGCTGCAATGGAACGCAAGAAAAGGCATAACGTGAGATTACTCGCACAACTTTCCATCACCATTGCATCATCGTGTAAGTATTGCAGAAAAACCAGCTTCAGATTCATCATCACCTGGTTTCTCCTTCGCTGGCATGCAATGAAAACTGACACAGAAAAAGTAAAAGCCCCTCGACTCGCCCCATAAATAGACATGAACCAGTTTCTGCTCCATTTTAGATGCCAAAAACGAGATAACGCGTCTCGGGATTGCTCTGGGGTCCTTTTTGGCGGCCACTCGGTCAAGTTGAAGTCCACACAAAATGGCACAGTAGCGGAACTAGTTTGCAAAGAGATCACATAATAATCTAACCACTGCAACTCTTGGTATTTATACCCAATTTCAAGATAGATCAACTTTAATCCTCCCATTTGAACTCTTCGCCATTCGTATGGTAACCCACTTCCATTGTCTTCCATCTGCAAGTGTCATTAGCGAATTTATCCCATAGAGCAGCCCGCTTATACAACCTCTCAGCCTCACACCAAGAGAAGACCCATCGAGGTACCAAGTCGGACATTGGACATGGGGCATAGGCCAGAAATTGTTTAGCAATGATTATCCAACATAAGCAGAAGGAGGAGCGTAGACACGTTGCACAGCGGCAGGCTTAGATCTTGTTTGTTTCTCTGTTTGGTTTATGCCTTGATGGCTGCTGTATGTACAAATTAATTGCCCGGGTCATAACTCTTCTTCTCTTCTTCTCTGAGGCGTTATCAGTCGCTCCCCCCGGCCATCCTCAGATCTTTCTTTTCGCATGGTAATTATGTTGTTGCCGCTAATGCCGCGCCTCATCATGCCTCAGCCACAGCCACAGCCGATGTTGCTGGATGATGTTGCTGTCAGTGGGGCGGCGTTTGATTATGCAACCTAATCGCAGTCCAAAGATTAACTTGGAGAAAAGTTCAATGTGTGTTGGAGGTGGAGGAACAGGCGATCGAGAGAGTTGGGAGGCTGCCTAACACGTTTTATATTATTTGTGTATTTTCTTTTTAGTAAATAGTTGGCCAGCAAGTATTTTCTGAGTGTATCTGTCTTCATGGCTTTAGCCAACCTTCGCTGTCTCGTACACTGGCTTGTCATGCATCTGTATCATCAATTTTGGTTTTTCATTCACAATTTTCTTTCTCTCTAAACATGACTTTTCTCCACAAATTACTCGTCTGGTGAAAACCTCAATCAATCATCAATCAGCTGGCAAGGCAATCAACACCCCAGCCCCAAAGCCACTGAACCCTGTCTGTCCTCATAGGGTTTGTCATATTTCTGTTCCCTTTTCTTTGAAATCCCAGCCTCTCTTTGTATGTTCGACATGTCAATTTCATGGTTTAGCGTGCTCATTCAACATTTTCACGGCACTTGTACACTCGTATGCAAAACGCTTTCGTTTTTAAATGCCAGTGCGAGCCGCCACCAATCAATGACCAGCTAATGCGCTGCGCATGCGCAGTCCCATCGAAAGGCTCTGCAGCTCTCTGTCAGGTCTCTGGCAGGTTTTTGTGGTTATTGCTGTCGCCAAATGCCACCACAACCCACGCCGTTGACGCCTCACTGTTCACTACTGGAGTTGAAGGTGTCAAGTGATTGACAACTCGAGTGAGTAACGGATATCAAGAGACACCATCCAAAACATTGGGAAAAACTATTAATCATAATAGGCAAATTATGTTGTATGTTTATGTCACGGAGTTGGTGGTCAGGAATTTTTCAAAAAATGCATTCCAATAAATGGAAAATCGCATAAATTGATTAACAACTCATCGTTTACAATAGCTATACAAAGAAAGTTCCCAAGATGCAGACGTAAGGGGTTTGGTCAGCAGTCATTTGGCCGTCTACAAACTCTAATTCATGTCAAATACGTTTTCATTGGAGGGCCGTCAAGTCGAATGGGCATTATGCTAATGAGAGAAGATACGCCGTGAGATTGCTGACAAGAGGTAGAAGAAGTGGAAGTGATGGCAAACCAGTTTATAGATCCCGCCGATAGCAGCATTTTTCACAAGTTTGATGGGGCGTTGTGATCCGTGATGTACCTGTCAGTTACATGACTCGAACTCCCAGCTAATTTGTTAATAATTCATAATTGATTTCTCATCACACATCGGGTCCACAGCCTCCTCTGGATGGGATACAAAATGAAAGCGAATTTGGAAATTTCTTTTCGTTTTCGTTTTCAGTCTCGGTTTTGGTTTTGGGTTTTGGGTTTTGGGCTAGGTTTCGTTTCGCAGTGAAAGTGATTCGTTATACATTTAGTCAGCAGCTAAGTTGTTTATGCTAATTATAATTTAATAGTTCAAATTAGAAGATCTGCAACACGCGCCCCCGGAGATACTTCGCTTAAGTAAGAGTTACGCAAAAGCCGAGGCGATGCAGTAAATTCTTCAAGTCCCCAGTTGCGCAACGGCATCGCGGCATTGCGGCCTCTTACAACTCTTGCAAGTTTTCTAGTTGCCAGTTTTTTCGGTCATGTCGATGGCCAATGGCATCCGATTTGGCCCCGTTTTTCCCCATTGCCTTTCGGATTTCCTGTCCTACCCCGCAGCCAACCAAGAAACGCATGCACAAGTCTGCCTTTGCCTTTACGTTTTGCACTGAATTTGTGTGCTGTGGAGTTTTTCCCCCTGGCTGTTGTATTTGTGGAGTTTTTGTTTGTCTTGCTCGAGATTATTTGGTGGTTTGTTAAGTTTCAAGGTTGTTTCTAGTCAGATCTGAGGATCGTTTTGGAGGCGCTTGCAGACATGTTTTGCAATTTGTGTTCTGGCCATAAAAAGAGATGCACATGTCAGATGTCAGTTTTGGCATCAATTCCAACTGCTGGCTAATGGGCCACTAAAGCTTACGGTGCTCCACTCGTAGGCCATTGTGGGAAACGAAGCTGCTGCTTTTATTTATAGATTCAATCGTTGTTGTTTGTTCTGGCAGCCTGAACAAGTCGGCCAATTATAATGAACTTTATATGGTGACAAGTGTTCTCGGCCTAGTCCAAAAATAAGAGCCTCTTTTATCATTAGCAAATAGTCTAATATTAAATGTATATTCAACATTTCAACATCTACCAGTAAGAAGTCAATCCTTTACCAAATCTATGCCAGATCGTTACCCAAAATTGATTTATTATTGTGCTGCAATCGGCATTTAACGGCTCATTAAATTGTCTAACTTATCATCGCAGGGCATCAACTCAATCTTAGTCAGATCTGCGAGATCGTGCTCACATCATTTCAACATCAGCTTCAGTTTCAGCATCTCATCGATCCTAACTGAATACAGTTCAGAACTGACTCCGCATTTTGGGTTTGGGTACTGACTCAGGAGCTTTGGTTTTCTATCAACTGCCAGAACTGGTTAGCCCCTCGACAGTGACTGTTGACAGTTTCCACACTGCATAAAATGTGCATAATAAGCTTTTGATGGCCTTTGATGGCTTCGATTTTTTGAGAGTCGCTGCCTCATTTCGGGTTCCATTCAGACTGTTGGTCAACAGTCCGTAAATTTGGCAATTCCCTTTCACTTTTCCCGACTATCGACAAATGACTGCAGTTGGGGGGTGCAGAGATGCCCCGAAAAAAGAAACAGAAATATTTTTGTGGATTTCCTAAAGGCATTGTAATTGCCAACAAAATTGTTTAGCCGCTAAGCAAATAAGTAATTAATTTGCGGCCGCACAAAAGAATGCCCAGCAACAATAGCCCCAGAAAAAGTAGCAGCAGCAAAAGGAAAAGGTGAAATTTACATAAAATTGTGTAATTAACTGAGGTAAGTAAGAAATTGCCTCAAGCGAGGCTTTGGCCAACACCTACAACTACGAGTACACCTAACCAAGGAAAGGGAAAGGGGTACGGCATGGCATGGTCTGTATCCACTGGCCACATGTAAGCAAAAGAAGCCACTCGGCAGCAACAATGAAAGGTTCCAGGCAAATGCCGCCAGCACCACAATAAAAGCAAAAGCAAGCACAAATGTTACTTAACAATCGCTATGCACAAACAAGAAGCGGCCACAAGAAACTTGGTCAGCTCCGTAATTCCACTCCTAGTTGTACAGAAGATGCTATCGCTGCCCCAACCAACCATTCCAACCCCAACCCTACTCACAAAAAAGAGAGGGAAACCGCTTGTAAAACTGTTTTTAATTTAGCGCGATTTGTCTGCTAGAGCCCCGAAATTGGCCGAGTATGTGGCTGATGGGAGTTGTATGATTGTGACTGCTTTTTTTGACCAGTTTCAAAGGTTTTAGATCTACGATACTCGACAAATGAGAGCTAATACGAGTAATTGTGTTTGTTTATAACGAGTGTGTATTACTGAAATACCAATTCATTTATTAAAGAATAAAATGTAGGATATTTTTGTAGTCAAAGAGATGTGGAAACTTGTTTAAACTTGTTTGGCCACCGTTAGATCCTCCGGCAGCCCACGGCAATTTGCAGTTAATTACATCTCTTGCATTCACAAATCTACAAAAAGATTGCACCATCACCTGCGGGTTAGTGCAATCGCTCGACTGTTTAAGCACTTCATACCCGAGTGACACACACAATTTAACGTGCGAGTAATTGAATGAAGGCAGAGTGCCAATGGCAAGAATTGCACAAACTTACTTCCTCGCAGATGCACCCACGCGGCCCACACGGGTAGCTGATATTTGGGCCACGCTCCCACCTGCAGCGGGCTGTCGCGCTCTGGCTAAGATTTGTGCATGGAAGCTCTACTCATACGTTTAATTTGACACACTCTGACACTTTTTACGAGCTCCGTAGATTTATTACATCATTAGCACTGTCAGGGGCAGCAGCAGCACAGCTGCTGCCATGATGCTGTATCTCGCAGATGCTCGTCGTACCAAACTGATTCGAGTAATTGTAATTTGAATAAACCCACTTCTTTTTTCAGATTTGACTTGGTTTTTAGCATGAGAAATTTAGGTTTATGGGACAGTGGTTTTTTTGGACAATTAACA